TTATAGGTCGTTTTAAAGTTCCGGAAAATCCAAGGAGTCTTCTCGCCGAGATTCCTAATTCCATCTTCAACATGATCGTTTGGCAGCAGGGTCGAGGACACACGGATGGCTCCGGAACTCCTAATTAGCTCCACTCACACCCCAACCCCGCCCCCCTCCCCCACCGCTTAATTTCACCTTCTAATTTTAATAGCTGGATCATTAGCATTACTATTAACATACCGCGGTGTATGGGTGCCTAATAGCCGCCGGGGTCTGCTTTTAGCTCTTATCATCGCGCCACATGCCGCGGGCCGCAACTCGCGCTTCCAGGAGGAGGCCAACGCGAACTGCTCGGGGTCACCGCTAAGAATTGCGAATTTGACTCATCATGATCGTCTGCTGAGTCCGTATATGAAGCAGTATACAGAGTGATCAAAAAGGCCCGTGCAAGTTGCTCACTCCCTAATTATCCCCGATTTCCTCAGATTTTCAGGACCTCATTCCCCGATGAGAGACCAAAGGCTTTTTCCATTTCCTCGGGAATTTCTTGAGGAAAATTAAGTAACTCTCCGGAGTACCAGATATGAATGCCAATGGGACCGCGTTTAACAGAAAGGAACCAAGCCATATTAGCTACTGCCAAATTTGCACGGGGCAATTTAATTTTTTTACGAGAGAACGTTTAAGCGGATTCCTTTGAAAACTTTGAGAGAATTGCTTTATACTATGAAAAAAATTCACTGAAATTAGTACAAAAATCTGCAGAACTGTTTTCATGTATAACTGTAAATGTATAACATGTAAAACTGAAAAAAACTCCCTTCATGGAGGTCGTGCTTACGGGTCATATGGATACACCGTCCGCGTTCCAGGTTCAGAGCCCGAAAGTTCCGGACGTAGCACCCGAAGCATTCGAAGCCACAGCTCCAGCACCCGGAACTTTCAGCCTCAGAGCCCGGAATGTCTATATAGCCCGTAAATTGTTTTTCTGTGTAGCAGCTTTTCCCGAAGACCCACCTTGTTCCACAGGGATACCGTCTCGGCCAGCAACGTCGATGATCGCTCCGACGCGAACCCTCGGACGTTTTGAAGTCGTCGCACGGAAGGAGGGAAGGGATGGGGTTGGGAGGGGGCGCTGAGTGGGTGGTGCGGGTTGCCGGTCGGCGGGCTGCGGGCGCGGGCCGGGCAAAAAGAGAATGACGGCAAAGTCAATTAGCCGCTCCTATTATACGTATATTAGCGTCAATTCGTCTCCAAGGACACCCGCGGCTAGCGGCCAGAATTGCCGCGTGGTCTTTGACTGGATCCCTCG